AGCAATTCCAAACTAATAAACTCTGTTTTTTGCTTAAACCTATTTTTAACTTTTTACGAGAGAGAGCGAGAGACAGACAGACAGACAGAGACAGAGAGAGAGATGCCAGATGTATAGTGGCACACACCTGTAATCCTAACTACTCTGGAAACTCAGAAATGGATCGCAAGTTTAAGACTAGCCTGGCCAACTATGACACTGTCTCAAAATTAAAAAATAAAAAAGGGCTGGAGATATACCTCAGGGTTGTGCCCCTAGGTTCAATACCCAGTACTACAAAGAAATGCTAGAAACTTTATGCAATACAATACTTACGAAAAAGAAATTAGCCTAATATTTATGGATCACATACTATTATCATTTCTAACAAACACACGCAGCATACACATGCACATACAACTGGTATACTAGAAACTTCTGTAACGTATTTTGTAAAGCTAGAGTTGGAATAATCCAAGTTACTATATAAAAAATGAAGATGACAGTTGGCAAAACTTAAGTTCAACAACCTCTGATATTCTGGATAGAACAGATTAAAACATAAGATGTCAAAGGCAGAATTTTTTTTCTTTATACAACCATCATCTGATTCAGTGTGACTACTTCTATGAATGGTTTTCATTAACCAAAGGACTTACAATTTTGTTTACATAAATTATAGACATAAATTTTATTTAATGAATGGTCTATTTAAAAGCCAAAGTACATATGCATAGCTAGCTATTAAACAGTTGTCCTTATTTAATGAAGCTACACAATTCCTTGTACATATACATATAAAATTTAATCAAATAAAAAGCTTTCTAAAATGCTGTATTGGTCATATTTGGACATTTTACAATTTCATGTCTATAGGAAAGAATGCTGGCAATATGTTGCCAAAAATTACAAAAATATGGGACTCTTGCAGTGGAGATCATGAAGCTGAGTTTATGGCGGGCAAGGCCAGCATATAGTTCACTTTTGTACCTGCAATGCAGTCTTCAGCTCAGCATATATTCATTTTGCTGAAATATTCCTGATTCATTCATTTGGCAAGTATCTACTTGGTACCTATGTACCAGACATTGTACTAGGTGATAAGGTATTCATTAGAGAATAAAACAGGCTACAGAACTCTACCTTAATGGTTTAATAATCCAGTGAGGAAGGACAAATAAGATGATTAAAACTTGTGCTACAGCAGAAATGAACAGGATATAATGATAAAATGATTTACTTAGAATGGTCAGGAAAAGTCTCTCAAACTCTTTAAGAAGTGACATTTAGCAGCACAACTCATAAAAGCTAAATCTTTTTTTTTTTTTGTCTTTTTAGTTTTTATCAGTACCAGGAATCGAACTCATGACTGCCTGTTTGCAAGGCAGGCGCTTATGCCACTGAGCTAAATCCCCAGCCCCCATAAAATGGGGAAATGGCCTATTATATATCCATCAATAGATGAACAGATAAAGAAAATGAGATATTTATACACAATGAAGTACTACTATACCATAAAGAAAGCTACGTTTGAGTCATTCCTAGGAAAATGGATATACTTAGATACAATAATGTTAAGTGAAATAAATCATACACATACGCTTAAATATCACACAGTTTCTCCTATAAGAAAATCCAAAGTATGACTAAGGAAGCAAACAAAATAAAATGGGTAACAGGAAACAAGGAGATAAAAGTTTCTCCAAATGGAAGGAGACAGATGGAGGGAGAAGGGGATGAACAAAGAATTGGAATGTGTTATATACATGTACCAATTCCATGATGAATGTGATCATATACTGTAAATGTATATTAATAAACTTTTTAAAAGTGCTATTTGAACCTAAACTTCAGTGAGGAAATTGCTTTTTGCAAAGCATAAAGCTTGGTAAGTTATCCTCTAAACTAACACAGCAGCATAGCTTCCATTTGGTAATTTACAATGTAATTTCTCCACTTTAAAATTTACAGTTTTCTAAATAGTTCATGTCTTTCTCTGGTCCTCCTTAGTCTGAACATTAGTAGCTCCCCAGGATTCTTTACAGATGGCTGGATGTATGTAACTATACCAAACTTGAATTTTTATAAACATATTAACTTTTTATTAAGAATATCTTGCACACATTTCAAATTATTACAAGACAATTAAAAAGAGAAAACTAATATTTGTTGAGGACTAGCAACCAGGCATGTTGGTGCTGATTTGTAATCCCATTACTCTGGGAGGCTGAAGCAGGAGGATCACAAATTTGAGATCAGTCTGAGCATCTTAGTGACTTAGTGAGACCCTGTCTCAAAAAAACAAAAACAAAAACAAAACCAACAATCAACTGACTTTAAACAGGAAAGTCTCTCAAGTGCTTCTACTATAAAATTACCAAACTTCTTTACACTCAAGCAGTGGAAGTAAAAGATACAGAATCATGTCAGTTAGGTATGGCGATACATGCCTGTAATCCCTGCTACTGGAGAGGCTGAGGCAGGAAAACTGAAAGTTTGAGGACAACTTGTATATTTAGTATGACTGTTTTAAAAATTAAAAGGGCAGCCAGGAGCGGTGGCACACACCTGTAATCCCAACACATGGGTGGCTGAAGCAGGAGGATCACTGCAGTTTGAGCCAGCGGGGGCTACACAGTGAGTTCAAGATCAGTTTCAACTACAAGACCCTGTCTCAAAGAGAATAAATAAATAAATAAAATAAAAGGATCAGGGATATAGCTCAGCACTACTTGGGTTCGATCCTCAGTACAAAAAGAAATCAATGAAAGCAAAAAAGAGCATAAAGACAGAGAGACAGAGGAGGAAAAATACTTACAGCTTTGTGGATAGCAACATAAAAAGGGAAGAGACCAGAAACTGAAAGCATCATGTTGGTGAACTCACTGATTGTAGCTCTCAGTCCAGTTCTCAGATATTCCAGTCTAGGAAGCTCAAATCAGAGTCAAAATAGTAATAAACCAGGATCCTATTTTACTCATGTTCCTTATGAAATATATAATCATATTTATCAGATTTTTGAGACCACTAATCATATCCCACTTATGGCAATTTATTTGTCCACAATGGACAACGTAACCTTCTAAACAAAAATAATCTTTATGGGCATTCTTACATATATATCAAAATTTATTATCAGGAAGCTAAATGAATAAGAATAAATGCTTAATGGATCAGGTAAATGGACTAAGATCTTTTAGAGAGGCCATGGTCAAGACTGATCAAATATTCCTGCTTCTCAGCAAAGACTACTTTCCTGGTTACTAGAATTATCATGAGCCTCAGATGATGTTCCTTTATCCTTTGTACAGCAGTGTATAAGCATTACCAAATTCTGCTTTTCAGACTCTTTTTCAATGTCCAGTGCTGACCATCCATCCCATTTCTGCAGATACAGCCTTTCTTTAGATATGTCATTGGCATCTATTGAATTCAATTTAAAAAATTTCAAAGTGGCTACTACCTGCTGAGTAATCTACTAGGCACTAAATATACAAGGGGGAGATGATGTGGGCCTCATGCTCAGGAGTTCACCTTCTACTGAGGAAGAACTTTTCTGTTTTTGATCTGGAAGACTGCCAGTCTATTACAATGTCTTACACATATATCTAATTTTATTCATTCTGTGAGGATAGTATTTAATTTTCAGAGTCCTATGAATAATTTACCACTACTCTTACATATCAGCTAAAAGGGCATTTTGTAGAGCAGAGACAACTGAGGTACTGTGAAGTGAAGCAGCTTGCCTGAAATCACAAAGCTAGAAAGTCGTGAAGCCAAGATTCAAATTCTAGGTCTTTCTGACTCCAGAGACCACACAATCTTTCCTCTATTCTATCCAATCTCTTAAGAAATGAAAATTTTTGAGAGCTAGAAGTATGCAAAGGGCCTAAGACAGTTCCTAACATATCCTCTAATTCAATTATTATGTCTGCCAACATAAAATTCAATAGTACCAAATCATAAATTTGCAGTTTTTAAATCTCCTATTAACTGCTAGGCCCCCAAACTGGCAAACCAAGAACAAATAATCTTCATTATAAGTCAATGTTCAATTCACTACTATTTAGTACCCATATAGAATCAAAACTCAAATCATCTCTCTAATTGAAAATTCTAATCTCAGCAAAAATAAGTACAGGGATCGAACTCACAACCTTGTGCTTGCCAGGCAGGCACTTACACCACTGAACTAAATCCCCAGCCCAAGGCCCTTCTCATATCTCACATTTAAATTTCACATTTTGAAGACTTGGTGAAGTATAGTAACAGTAAACTAAAAACAATGATTAAGCAAATAAAAACACAAAATGTGCAACACTAGACAATGTCTTAAATCATCTAAAGCTTTAAATTACACATTTGGTTGATAATAAATTTTAATTTATGCTGAATTATTTAAAAGAAATGCTGTTTAACTCCATTATCATCTATCTTTCTTACATTTCTCATGAGCTATACAATAGTTCATTATAATCAATGACAAAGATTCACTTAGCACTGAAATTACCCAAACACAAATCCTAGTGTACATGTAAGAAAAACATGACGGACTGAGAAAGGGAGAAAAGGAAATAGAAGAGAAATACTATTAGGTGGTGGTACATTGAGAATGTAAACACCAGAAACTGCAATTCATCAAGCAGGAAGTCCTGAAATCACATGACAGCAGGAAAATGAAAAGTAAAAATAAAAGAAAAACGAGCAAGATAGGCCCAACGGAGCTGGGGGTGGGGGATTAAAAGATTATTTAGATATACTGTATGTCTGTTAAAAACTGTACAAATAAGATATATTTAACTCATCTAGTGACAACTGAGTAACTAGTCTTTTAGTAATTATGTCACCAAAATATTCATTTAATAAGTTAACACCTGTCAAAATACTAAGGAAAATAATTTTCTCCTAATATTCAGAATGAAATATTTATACTGACCACAGATTTCCACCAAAGACAACAGAAAAATTCAATGTGTATTCATAATTTAAGATATACCATCTAATAGTTAAATTGATCTTACCCATTAACGTTGCTAAAAGACACAAAGAATACATCTCTTTGTCAGCTTGCTCCTGAAGCTCTTTGGATGACAGTTTACCAGAAACAGCAACCTCTTCTTGTTTCACAGTGTGGGCTGAGTGTGCTGGAGCGGACTGACCGCCTTCTGCTTTGCTTTTTAGAATCTCTATTGTAATTCTGTCACCATGCTGTAAAGGAACAGGCTCCTTTTCCATTCCTGCCTGTGGTGGCATTAACTCTTTAGGAGGAAAGCCATATCGAATACACTGTAAATATGGAGGAATGTTGAATTCTCTAGAAATACTTTCCTGAAGTTCAAAAAAGGTTGTTGAAGACTTAAGTGTAACCATGGACTGTCGACCATCATTAGTTGTTATTCGGATCTTCTTCTCCTTAGAAGTTGTAGGTGAATAGGGAGCCTTGGTAGGGGTAGCAGGAGCAGAGGATGTACCATCACGAATGGCAGTGGGAGATACAGTTCTGGGCTGTACTTTTTGTTCTTGTTTTAACTTCTCTGTTTTCCGTTTTTGCATTGCAGAAGCCTGTTCTGTAATGTTCTGTTGAATAGTTCTTTCAGTTTTACTCATATTTAACTCTTCCTTGTGTAAAGTTTTTGTTTTCTGTCCAGTAAGAATAATTTTAGTTGGGAGCTGAGACTCTGATTCTTCTCCAATTCTTTGGGCATGAGCACCATCGATATTTACAGGAGTATAATCATCAGGATTCTTTTTGGCGGTCTGATTCAATATAGTGTGAACAACTTTCTGAACTAGAATTTCACTCCCAAATTCACCTGGAAAGTGCTTGGTAACAAGTTTCATTGCAACATCATAAACATTACTATTCAAAGATGGATCACTTTCATACTGGAACCAATACACTGTTTCTCTGACCACTCTTCCTCCCCATTCCAAAGTAATAGGGAAAGCTTCCGGTAGATTGTCATATTCTTTACCATCCCAAAAGTGTTTGAATCCACAACCACATTTGCCGCCAGTGGACCTAGAATTAGTTCTATCTCCATCCAAATATACAATAGATCCATCTCCTCTGACTCTTCGCACAGATGTGCCATGACACCAATTACAAGCCGTTAAATTACTCAATCCGTAGTCTGGTATCAGAACATCTTTCACTGAATCATATGAGCAAACCAAACTGTTCAAGGGAAAGCTGTAATTTTTGTCAGGCCTCAGCTGTCCATGAGTACTTTTTGCCAGGTTATACAGTTTCCCTCCGGGAGCCAACCACTCTGGAGGAACATGAAGTTCAGAGAGGGCACCACACAGCAAACATTTGTGAAGGCGATTATCCATTACTGCTTTTTTAGCAGCTGCTGTAACTTCTTCGGGCTGGACTCCTATCACCCCAGTCCTTCTGTAGAAATACTGATGGACATCAGCAACCAAACTAGGATGGATACCGTGTTTGTCCATAAAGACCTCTTCCATAGCAGCAACAAGCCTAAGTAAGTACTTATCTTGCAAACTTCTGTCTCCTCCAATAACACAACCACCATCTTCCTCAAGTTTGATATACTTTTTAATAAGGTCCTGGGGCACACCCCAAGCTTTAGGAAGTAAATTCATAGGTAGTTTGGGCAAAGCAGCTCCTTTTATGCCTACCAAGGGTATATAATGGTTTCTACCAGAGCTACTCCACGCAATACAGATTGGTTTGTTCAAATGACCATCTTTCCCAGTGCACTTCTCTGCAGGTATAAGCCCAGGCAGAAAGGTGGCTGAATAATCACCAGAGCTTCTCATACCACTGAGAGAATCTAACAGAATTATAGGACGATGTAACACATTAGCCAGGCCAAATATGTGGATGTTCCTCAGACCTAAGGGAACACCCTCGGGGGGCACGAATAGAGGGTCACACTCATTGATAATGTCCTCCCACTCAGCAGCATCAATAAAGTCGTGGAATAGGGCTTGATATCGTGCCAGGTGCTGCTGAAAGTGTTGTTTAAGATTTTCTCTCAGGGCATGCCAGAAGAGCTCCCGGCCTACCAGCGCTCGAGATACAGCATGCACCAGGCAGTGTCCATCTCCATCCACATGCACTGGAATGAGACATTCCTGACTCTTATTAGCCCGCTTGATATCCTCAAGAGTGTCATGCAAATACAGAAGGCTTCCGGAGCGGTCCTTGCCGTACCCCACCGTGTTAACATGCTCTGGTTCTATGAGAAAGGCCCGGTCACCGAGCAGCGCACAATCAAATAGTTCACCCTGGTTCATATCCCGGAGAAGCTTGGCCCGGCCTGTCTTTTTGTCCATTCCATAGCGAGCCAATATGGGCGACAGCAATTTACAGTGATAGTTGGAAAGGCCCATCACCTTTACCAGTTCCGTGTTCTTCTTGGGTGCCCCAGTCACCCCAAGCAGCGCGTTCCGTAGCAGGTTGTGCAGTACTACGTCCGGGTCGGTCACCTCCTCCACCCCCAGCAGCTGCTGCTGCTCGTGCCGCTGTCCGCACTCAGTACACTCGATGCTTACAGAACCGGAGGCCGGGAAGAACAGACGCGCCTGGCACTTAGGATCTGGGCAGCTCCCGGAAAGGATTCTCCGATCTCTCCGCTTCGAAAGCCCTCCCGGAGCAGCTGCTGCCCCCGCCAAAGACGACGGAGTTTGCGGAGCCTCAGGGGGGGGAGGTGGTGGCGGCAGCGGAGGAGGCGGTGGCGGCTGAGACATAGCTCTCGGCTCTCGGGTCTCGCTCCGCGACCCTCAAAAGCTCATAGCCCAAAACCCCTACCGGCCCGGCTCGGTCTAGTTCAGACCCAGAGCAAATCACTTTCCTTTTCCTACCAGCTCCTCCTCCTCCTGACCGAAGACGGAAGCGCCGGACGTTGTTTCTCTTTTCACTTCTCTACTGCCGTAGCCGTTGCCCCGAACGTAACGGCCACCACCCCAACCCGCACTCACACTCACTCACTCTCGCTCTCTCTCGCTCAGACACTAGAGACATACCCGCCCTCGCAAAGAGTGCGCAGGCGCGTTTTCCGCTCTGCCCTCTGGGAATTAGAGTCTTTTGATCGTTCTAGGCCCTTAAGCGCTAGGTTCTTCGTCCAGAATGAACTACAAATACCGCGATTCTAATAGGTTCAGCACCCAAAGAGAGGAGGAAGAGGAAGGCAATAGGAAGGAGGGCAGAAAGAAAGATGGTGACTTGCGTTGCCTTTCGGGAATTGTAGTTCTAATTGATTCCTCTTTGTGGTTTTACTCATTCTAAGGAGCCAGGCGAAAAAGTCTGAGAGACTACATTTCCTAGGATGCCCTGCGGCGCGTCGTCCAGTCGAACTTCCCCTTTGGGCAGAAGGGAGAATCCAGGGAATCTCCGTAAAAAGAGAGTTACAGGGAGTGGGTTTTGGAGCAGAGAGTCTGAAGTTCACGACTGCTAGAAGGGGAGGGGAGTGGAAAGGCTCTCAATGAAGAAGGTACAGTAAATAAATGTCCAAGGATGTGATGGGCTGGGAAATTGAATTAAATGGCTTAGTCCAGACTGAAGGTCCTAGAAAAGAGAAGAGAAGTAATGGATGTCAGGATGTTTTCAAAGACCGTTTTCCACTTCTGTAGTCTCATTTCTACCTCAGTTCCAAGTGATTGACGCACTTAATTCTCCTTTTCTGCCTTTTCCTCTTTACGTGGTAGTCGCGGAAACACCGTTTGTTTTCTCGTTTTTCTGTCTTAAAATGTGTAGTACAAATAACAAGACCTTAGCATGCATAGTTTTATATACATATACAGAACTTTTAAAATGTAGGTATAAATTCGTTTTATCCTTAAATCCTTCCCTTAGAGAATCTGTAAGATCGTCACTCCAAGGATATAGTGCTAATTTGCATCTAATGTCCATTTCTTTAAAAAAAAAAATGACGGATTTGAAAAAGAAATCTTTCAGTTGTTGTTTTCCCTCCTATTTTCCCTGGGCCATGCAAAAATGTACCTTCATTAAAGACGGGTAATGTTACCTACCCTGAAGGAATATTTTTCTTTCTTTCTTTTTTTTTTTTTTTTTTTTTGTGCCAAAACCCAGGAAATATTTTTCAATAAAGTTATCAGAAAATTAATTCAGGCAGGAAGAGTTATTTTATTTGACATTTTGCTCATAACGTCATGCTGGGAAGTGAACTCAGGGCCTCTCCAATGCAAGCACTCCTGCCATGGGTTACATCCACAGTTCTTTTTACTTTGGGATAGTATCTCTTTAAATTGTCTAGGCTGACCTTGAACTTGGGATCCTTCTTCCTAAATCTTCCCAGTTGCTGAGATTACAGGTATAACCACCACACAGAGCCTGGAAATGATTTTTCATTAAGTTCTTGTGAACTTAGAAATTGGATATGCCCTTCAGGTGGAAGTTATTTTTTTTTCTGTAACTGAGCAGTTACATGGGCAGTGTCACTATGTTTTTCTCCTACAGAATACAAAGACTTCAGTTACTAAATCTTGGACACATAAAATGACAGCATTCAGCAGTTCTAACACTGTCATGCACTTTTATCTGTCATCAAAAGCTACATTTTCCTTATTGCTGATACATATGAATTGTAAAGTAGATTAAATTGAGTCTGAATATATCATTTGAATTGTACAAAATAAATGCTGTCCACCTCACTGAATAAGAAAGCCTTTCTCTGTTTTATCAAGTAGAATCCACTTGATTGATGTAGCATTCATTTTCTCACATAGAACCTTGATTAGTTAGAAACATTCTTTCCCAAACTAGAATTGATTATGTTTATTTATATATTAATTTTGTGATGCTAGGGATCAAACTCAGAGCCTCATGCATGTTAGGGAAGTGCTTTACCAGTGGGCTGCATTCCCACCCCTAAATTGATAAATTCATTTCTTACTGATCTCACGATTTAAGGATTATATTTTTGAAAGAAAAAAATACTCATAGTTAATGTGAGTAGGATGAAGAGTTAAGTTTCCAGGTAATTTTACAATTAAGTTAGGTCATCTAATCTGAAAATAAGTCACTTATTTAATAAGTCTGGAAATACAGACACTATTCATAAAGTATAAAAACTAACATGAATAGGGGGCAATGATGTTATCTGTTCAATGTGAGAATTAATTACTCGGTGCTTAGAAGGCATGGGAACCTACAATATTAAAAATAAAAGAAAATTTTGTCAGGACAAAATATGACATACTGTTTCTTATATGGCCATAAGAGTTTGGAAAGCTTCTAACTTGCTTATGAGATCTTCATGCTTCCTTCCTCTTCCCTCAAATTGCATGATTTTCATTGCCTTATTAATTTTCACAGGATCTTTGTGAAGTAGAGAGTAGTTCTTGTTCTTGTGTCCATATTTGAAGTGAGAAAAATGAGATGGACAGTTAGTATTAAATGCTATGATACACACTGTCCTTCTGCCATCACCATTAGTAGTATCTGTATTGCTAAAGCTAATTACAACTGCAATCAATTTTTTATAACTTTCGTATGGCCCTTCTGAACTTCCTGTACTGTTTTTAATTAATGTAAAAGCAAAAGTCATCTACTTTAGTAACGGAACTACCACCATTTTTCTTGACTTTTTGTATATTACGTATATAAGGAAGGGAATCATAACTTTGAGGGTTGGAAAGCAGTCACATACACACTCATAAAATGTGTATCTATACTGAGAGTTAACTGTGTTCCTCCAGATCCCTACTGAGGATAGACTTCCAGTTACAACCTTTGTTGAAACCTGAGTAGGACTAATGACTTAAGTCAGTGCAGCATAAAGGATGCAGATGGCCGTCTCCAAGTAAGAGTGAGTTTAAACTGAAGAGAAGGGCTACTTATCAATAAAAGTGAATAAAGCATGCAATCAAAATGGTACAGGAAACAAACATCACAAATTCTATGAGAATATAGGGCAGATTTTTTGTTTATTATCTTAATCTTTTAAATGCTTTTTTGAAATAGGTAGCTTTCTCTTAACAGATAAGACTTAATTCTAAAACATTAATGTTGTCATTTTTGTTACCATCCAGAAAGCAAGTAGCAGAGTGGGTGCAAATTAGGGTTTTCCTTGTTGAGCAGTTTACAGATTTAAAAATTAGACAGGAAGCAAGTGAACTGGCAACCAGTGTCATCTTGGCTTGGATATGTTTTTCACAGATTACCATGATTTAACTTTTTAAAATGTAAAAACACTTTGGGCAGTGTCCACACTTCACTTTATACTATTTATATTGGGTCTCCTTGAGACATTGCCTGCTGAGCCCAACCTCAAAAATTAAAAAAAAAAATTTTAAAAATCATATCCTTTTCTCTCTTCTCCCCTTCCCTCCCTTCTGCTTCCTTCCTTCCTCCCTTCCTTTCTTCTTTCTATTTTGTGGTGAAGAAAATCAGGCCCAAGGTCTTGTATATATTAGGCAAGCACTCTGACTCTGAGCTACATCCTCTGCCCCGTGTGCCTTTTGTATACTAGATAGTAATCGGGCATAGAAGGACCTATTCTCACAAGGCTCCTTGGTGTGCACCTTAGTCCTCGCTACTGGAAGGCTGAGGACATAAATTGGAGCTAGCCAGATCTCATACAGGGGCAGTCCATCCAAAGATTCTTAAAGAAAGTATGCCAAAAGCAAAAGGAAAACTTTGTAAACAGGACTTGCAAAAAGTATTCAGGAAAGAAGACAGATTTGTACTTATCTTTTGGCGAGGGAGGGGCTGCTGGAGACTGAACCCAGAGTCTAATGCATGGTAGGCAAGTGCTGAACCACTGAGCTTTGTCCCAATGCAATATTTATCACTGTACAGTGTAAAAGTGACCTGGATCAAGTTCAGGCCTACAAGTTATAACTTCACACAGTAGTTCTCAATCTTTAGCGAGCATCAGAATCAAATCAAAAGCTTAAAAAACCATCATTTTCTGAGCTTCACAGCAGAATGAGTGTGCATAAGAAGAGCCTGAGAATTTACATTTTTAGCAAGTTTTCTGGATGGTACTGGCCAAAGAATCACACTTTAAGATTTACCGTTGTCATGGTTTATGTCTGTGGCCCTCAGGCCTCATGAGTTTGCATTTGTGCATTTGTGATGGTTCATTGTCTAGTGCTTGGATTGATGGTGTCAGTGCTATACCCACATAGGGGTGGAGCCAGGATGTAATGTAATGGCAGGAAGAAAGTGTGTCTTGCTCTTTGCTGGTTCCTGCTTGCTATTTGCAGCCCCCATGAACTGTGGCCCAACCATGCCCGCCTGCCTTGGAGCCAACTGAGTGTGGACTGAAACCTCCAAAAACTGTAAGAAATAAACCTTTCTTTTCCCAACTTGGGCTTCAGGTATTTTGTCTCAGCAATGAGTAAAAAGTAACTAAGAATTTGGTACCGAGGAGTGGGGTCGTTTGCTGTGACTATACCTGACCATGTTTTTCAAGAGGCTTTGGAAATGGCTTGTGGGCAGAATTTGGAAAGGCTTGGACATGTCTCCTGGATGCATAGAGCTGGAGCAGCTTAGGCTGTTTTGTAGAGGAGATTCTGGTCAGAGCTCAGGAGACCAGAAGGCTGATAGAAAGCCTCATGTTAAAGACCAGGCTTGGAAGGTTTCTGCTGGGAAGAAGGACTACATTGGTTGTTGGACTCCCCATGATGTGTGTTATGCCTTGGCAGAAAATTTGTCTGCATTTTGTTCATGCTCAGAGACTTTGCCTGAGACTGAGACAAAGGGCACTGGATTGATTAATCTTGAAAAAAAATTAAAAAGCAATCAAACATTGAGGCTGTGGCATGGATATTGTTGGGGGCTTTAGCCAGCTTGATGTTGCAAATCAAGAGCAAAGAACCCAGCAGGATAATTTGCAATTACTGTGAGTTTGACCAGAAGGAAAATGCCAGGAAGGCTGTGGATTGTAAAGACAGATTTGAGATTTTGATTGCTGATGGCTCCGGGACATCTCAGGAAGCTGGGCCCCACCCTATGCAGCCTCACTGCAAAAGTAAAAGAATTTGCTCAGAGGAGAAAGCTGCAGAGCACCAGGTTTCAAAATGGCGACAGAGGCCACATGAGGTTCCAGAATGGCAGCAACATAGAGAAGCTTTTCCTCACAATCAGGTAAACAGAGCCCTGCAATCCAGGCAACTGACCCCTACAGCCAAGAGAGAGAAAAGCCTGGCTACTGCTTCAGCTGGCAGCAGACCTTGGCGGCATCCACAAGGTGCTAATTTTAGGTGCAAGGAAAATGCACGAATTCTGAGGGTAAGATGGCTTCCACCTCGTTTGCAAAGGGCCTGGGAGCCCAAGCAGTGCCCCTGATAGGGCAATTTGTAAAGATGCAAGGGTGAAGCCAAAGGTGCGGTGGAGACTCCAGAAGTTTGGAAAAGCCAGAAACATGGGGATGATCCAAAGAAAGCTGCAAAAAACGAGCAGAGAGGATTTAAGAGAAAAGCTGTGGGAGCTGAAATCCCTGGAAGTGCCATGGGGTTGGAATCA